ATGTGATGCTGCTGTTTTCATAAGAATGGTTACAAAATGTTTCTTTCTAGACCGGGATAAAATTAATTTAAAGCTAGATTATTCATCATCTAATTCATTTTCCAACATTTAAACAGAAACACACTGGTTAGATTGAAATGGCTTCCTAATTTTGGCCAAAACCCCCAATAAATCACTTTTCCTAAATATTATTCTTTCATTTCTGAAGATATAACAATAGTAAAAATTTGGAAGCATTTACTTTGATTTGCGACAAATGCTAGATGTTGGCAAGACTCAATATTCTTTCTTTTTAAATCACCAGCTAAATTTCTTTTATGGAAAAGTTAAATAAGTACTACATCAATTATCATCCATTTTGAAATATGTACAAAAACTGAGTCTTCAGTTCAGCAGTTTTATAAACCATTGTGTTCCAATTACAAAGCTATAGATCTTGATGGAATTTATGCAGGATGAATTTGACCCTGAATTTTAAAAAGGCTAAACAATTATCTTTCCTAGATATTGTTCAATACTTTGGGTTGCTTTTCGAAACAATAGTACTGTTTGTACCAAGGAGAAAAGATGAAGTTATTAAGGAGAAAAAAGACACTTATTTGCAATGTGTTTTTCCCCTTATTTTAGGGACATTAAATGGGTTCATCTCTGTGGTCCAACCTAAATATCTATTAGCATAATTTGATCAATGTGGCTTTGTCATTCTTATAGCTTTCTTTTCAATTCTGCACAACCTTTTCTGCTGGTTGTGCTTATTTTTTCCCCTTGGCAGCAATATATTAACAGAGCAATATTTTATTTTAATAATTACAAACTTCCTAGTAACTTTAGATGAAATGAATACAAATAATGTTAGAAGATAGCCAATAAATTTTCCTGTTTTGATTGTAGTGTATGGTTGCAATTTAACTTCTTGTTCTTTGATTTGTTCTAGCTACCTACAGAATCTTTGTTTTATCGGGCTGTGCTGCAGGTTATTGTAGAAGAATGTTATGGCATCAAGAGAAAGTAATGTGCTGCAATTTTATACGTTGTTATAGAAACAGAACATTTGCTTCTTTTGATGTTGAAATCTGAGAACAATGCATTTATTAAAAGAAAAGCCATTTTTTGTCTATTTGAAAAAATATCTACCTGTAAATTTGACTTGCCAGCAAGCTAACCTTTTGAAATCTGCTTTAATTCCATGGTACCCCCTAGAAGAGAATATATGTGGCTCATGGTTGAACTGTAGAATTGTAAGATAGGTCGTTATCACTTCAGACTGAGAATTGAGTTTAAGAATAGAGATAGTCCTTGCTTATTCACCATTCGTTCAGTGATTGTTCAAAATTACAACTGCTGAAAAAACAACTTTACAGCTTATTTATGACCCTCACAACACCTGAGTCACCTGATTGCCATTACATATGATACATAAGTTTTTATTTTTGTTTTTGATTAAATGCCACTTATAACATATCTTTGTCAATGAGAAGAAGTAGTCCCTTAAGTAAACATTAGCAGACCACAGACTATAACCAGTTCTCTAAACCCTTAATTGTATAAGTGTAGACATTCTGCATTTCTCTAGACCTTTCCTTGATTTGCCTTCATCAAACAGAGTTAATATACTGCTCACAAAAATAAAGGGAACATTTTAACATGGAACTGAAGGGGTTTGCGTTCCCTTTATTTTTTTGAGCAGTATATATACCTCCTATAATCCTTTAGCCAGCACATCTGTGGTCTAGCTCATAAAATGATAGGAAGCTAGCTTGTACTGAGTGAAAATGGCAATGATTCTCCAGAATTTCAGTGAGTTACAGCCCATATTACATCTGTGGTAAATCAGGCTGAGGAAGATAAGCCAAGACAGTTTTTCAAAAGATTGCAGAATTGTTCTTCATGGACTGAGTGTCTCTGTTTGTGTGATGTTGCAAACATAACAAAAAAAAAATATTTGTCATTTCAGTGATCGTAATATTGGAAAAGTATATTCTAAATCATCTTCATTTTTGGATTATGTTAGAATTTCCTTGAAAAAGCTTGAACTAGATGAATCAAAGGTAAATATTTGGTTATGAATTGAAATTCATATAGTGAATACAGTGCAGATTATTTCAGTGATTTGTTTGGTAATATAAATTATGCTGAGAGCAAGGAGAAAATGCAGTTTTTAAATGCAGAAAATTAAATCTAAGTTATATATAATAATCATTGCCAATGTCTAGCAGATTAATATTTATCTGAGGAATATTTCCCCACTCTGCATTTAATCTACTGTAATTAATAAGTAAAATGTCATGGATAAATGATGCTAGAACAGCAATTACAGAAAATGTTGGGACATCGCATACCCCATGCCAGTGCAACATGTCTTCTAATTCAGTGGAAACTTAAATAAGCATTTATCAATATTGTTTATACAGTTTGAAGTCTTTCTGCTTCTCTGTGAAATCACAAAGAGGCGGTAGTAGTAGTAGTAGTAGTAGTAGTAACAGTAGTATGGTATACTTTATTGGTTATAGTCAATTGACCATATCAAATACAAGGAAACAGGTAAGTTCACTTTGACAAGCAGTAGTAAATAAGAAACAGGTGTGATATTTTGAAGAACAGGAAATTCCTTTGTTTCTTTTAGTTTAACAGCCTGTAATGTGAATATGAGTTTTGCTACCATAATCTGTTATGAAACATGATCTACTAAAAAAAAGAGATATGCAAAATATACATATTGGAATAAGCGTTCATGAAGTAACTTATGATACCAACGTTTGTTTTAGCAATGACTTAATATATTTTGGAATTGTCATTTATAAATGTAGTTTCAGTGTGAAAAAGAATATTTGTAAATAAGATTTGACTTCTTTTTATACACAGATTGTCCTAAAACATTGAAAGTATCTAGAGTAATATATCTGTATCTGTTGATAGCACAATCTCACTCTTGCATTGAGCTCTCTCAGTTCTACCTTGTTTTATAAATAGATTACTTCTAGGACTACATATTTCCCTAACGTAATGGTTGATAATATGCCTGTATCTATTCACTTCTCAGTAGTCCTATCTTACAACTATTTGTATTAAATATGATACTCACAACATTTTTGCCAGAGGGACAAGTCACTATATGATTCATAAATGCATTTCTTTTCCAAACCTTGCAACCTTTCCTTTTTTTCTGTCTTGGAATTGCTATTAAATAACATAGATATCATCATTTGTTCATCGTAAAATATCTTTATACATATATATCTTTGGCCTTACAGTATTTAGCCAAAGTGCATATAACTAAAATGGTTGCATACTCTTAAACTTCATACCTGTACACTACTTATGTGTATGTTAAAACTATCTATAATTTGAGTTCCTCAAGGGAACCTATATGTTAAAACTATCTATAATTTGAGTTCCTCATAGGAGATCAAATTCTGAGAGATGCAATTTATAATTTTGTTTAAATAGTGATAAGAATTCAGTATTCCAGCAATATTGGAATACTTGGTAGGAGAGCATTTTGGTTTCTTAAATAAATAGATTCCTTCTAAAACAATTGTTCTGTTTATTGGAATGGAGCTGCCTTTTTGAAGGAAACTTTTTCTCTGCAAAGGAAAGGAAAAATCTTGTCAGCTGTACAAACTCATAGGGCAAAATCTAACAAAGGAACATTCAGGGAATAGATGAAATCTCAGGGAGGAGAATATATTTATCTTCCATTTATTTGTCTGCTTACTCAGCAGTAACAATGGCTTTTATTAAGTATATAAGATACAAATTGGCCTTTCAGCAGGAATTACTGTTTATCTATTTTTTTTTAATCTGGATCCTGCATAGTGTTTTATATACACATTCATATACATTTCTAGAACTAATTAATGAGAAACAGCTGAATTTTTTTTTAAAAAAACCTTCAGTTTCTGCTGGTGAAATTTTCTTCAATAGCAATGGTGCACTTCTAGCAATAGTTTACTTAGATGTAAACCTGGTCAAGAATAGATGTAAACCTATTATCAAGAAAACTTTAGTATGAAATTATTTGCAGCTGTTTAAAATTTGGTTTGCCTGCTTCTTATTAGCTTGAGTTTTAATACAAATAGATAATATAAATCTTAAATTATAATAAGCATCTCAGTAAAAATATTTATCAGGCATTTGTGGACAGGACAATATAGTTCAGTTGTCAAGTGTGATTATAAAAGGCTGATAGCATAGTTGTAAAATCTTTTATTTATGCAATATTTCAAGGATAACTGTACTTTAAATATAAACTCACATGCAATATTAATGATCCCAGTGCCAAATTTCAGTTTAATCTGACAGTTTTAATAGCTGTAATAGCTACACGAATCAACTGACAAACTACAGACTTCAGTTTAAAGTAAGCAAACTGAAAATTTAGTAAGGTGTTGGAGAAGAAGGAACATGTCTCTGACAGATAAATATTCAAGATCAAATAAGCATGGACTTTTATTATTGGTATTTTTTCACTATCAAGAGTTGATGACCTCTTTTATGTGAACATATGTATGGCAAGTCCTTGATAAAAATTGCATGTAACCTTGTATTTACATTCTAAAGTTTTAGTAATTTGGAAATACAAGGTTCTCCTTTAGTTCTTCAGAAGGTATTATATAGTTGCATGAAAAGATCATTCATTGACATTTGCATCTCCTAGTTTAGGCATAGTCTTGGATGTCCAAGAAGAATGGATTCAGTAATCATGTTTTTCCTTCCTGTGTGAGTTGTTTTCTGTCCTTCCATGTTTGAGCAGATCAGTTATATCTAAAAATATAGATTTTTTCATGCTATACTGTTTCATATTCAGTTGATAAACCACTATTACTATGTTCATTGAATATTCAGAAATTACCTGATTTTTAAAAAAAATAGTGATGTGAGAACATTCTGGTAAGGTTTGATAAAGTTACACTGATTTATAATAATTTCTGCATGTTTTAAAGATGCAGATACTAAAACCAGACTGTTTTTTGAACATTTTAAATATAGTTCCTTACGTATTATTATGTGTGTTTGAAAAAAGTTTGAGAAGCCATTATAATAAATTAGAAAATGTTGATTGTAAAATAATTGTTTTGGTTTTTGAACTGTTTTAATTATAAAAATAATTTTAACATATGCCTCAGGCAAATGTTAATTGCCATCATCAATGTTCTTGCTGTTGCAGATTTCAGACAGCATCATATTGGAATATCTTAAAAAATACAAGCACAGAATGAATGAACTGGAAGCTTTTAATATGGTAACATTGAAATATTGGAATATTTTTGCTAGGGCATGGCACGAATAATACTTGTGCTAACATTTTAAGATGAAGTAGGTCATTTTGTGTTTGATATTTTCTGTAAAGAAGGAAACAAACGAAATATCCCTTAACTAGGAGTATATTTTCCTCCAAAATTATAAACACTCACTGAGAACATATGAAGATTCTTTTTTCCTGTCAAATAAGTGTCAGAAATGTTGGGCTGGTTTTGGACCCACCTTGTTTTTTTTCTGTATTCCTTTGAATACATTAATTTTTTAACTTTTAACAAAATTGCTATCACTTAAGTGTTTTTTTTTATGCTGAGTTATACCTCAGAGTTACTAAGTAACAGATATCATACTTAATATCTTTCATAGATTAAGATTATGCTGCTTTTTAAAACAATGTCTAATAAAGTGGAATTGGCAAGATAAATACATTGTTTTTTAAAAGATAAATTTTCCATGTTCTTTAGTAGTTCAGTAGAAAAATGTAGCAATTTTCTGTTCAGTAGTAAAATGATAAATGCCAAAAATGATTTCAGAAATTTTCATGAAACAAAAATATTGTAGAGTTTTTATGTGCATTCATAAAATAATTGTACAACATTTACATGATTGTATTAAATAGCTAATAATTAGTCATGAATAAATCCTGCTTTACCAAATATATCTTTTTGACAGCAGTTAAAATTGTTTTGACCTAGCCACTTCGGAAATCCTGCTTAGTATCCTTTGTAGAGGTTTGATGAAAAAGTCATTCAGTTGATCCTCCCAGTCAAATAAAATTTTCAAATTTAATTGAGACTATAATGTCTTTTATCTATTTGCAAGAGCCCTTTCTTAAATAGCCTTGGTTTTATGAATTAAACTAACAATCCAAATGAGATCAATTATCTGAACTGGATTGGAACTGATTCATACGTTTCTAATAATTAATATCTTTGAAGTAAAGGGATAATAGGAGAGTTTACCTTTAAATATTTAAATAAGAAATCTAAATCTATGTTGTAGGCAGTTTTTCTTTGTTCTTGAGTGTGCATTTTAGAAATGTGATTCAATTGTGTTTAATTTTCAGCTGAAAGTTGTTCTAGGACCTTGCATAGAGGGGTTGATACTTCTAGATCGTCTCTGCTATCTCAAAGAACAGGTAATTCTTGGTGGATTTATCCATGATATAGGTTTTTTTAAGTATTTGAAGCAAATTATGTCTCCTTCATATTAAAAGAAACAAATAATTGTTTTCATGTGTTTGCCAAAATTTTGAAGTCCAATCCATCATATCCATCATTACCAGCAAATGTTTTTATTTTGGGGAAATTTGCTGTAATAAAGTTTTTATGTAGTTTAAATTGCATTTTAAATTACTAGTAATGAAGTGATATTGTCTATGTAAAAATTTTAATTATTAATAATTGAAACAGTAAATGACTTTTGTGCAACTGTTCTTTTCTTTAAGGATTTATATTTATGTTTCAAAAATATTTCTATACTTTGTGGATCCTAGATAGTTTTTAATAAGTGACTGTAAAATTATTTTGTGAATTAATGATTGCTCTAAGTTAAGGATTTAGAATTAAAGAATATACTTTCTTGAATATTAACACAGTGTCTGTCTATGACAGATACATTTGACTTAAGATTCATTTTATTTGATTCATGATTATTTAACTCCAGTAGCATTTAAAGATACATTTCCCATTAGCTTGAGTGAAAACCAATAAAGGGTTTTACAGTCTTATTATTTAAGATTGTGAATGGTGATCATTAGACCTTTCCAGAGATGGTCTGATTTTGCTTTTCTTTTTAACAGTCATCAAATACGTTGTATTGTCTTATGTTTTCTAAGTAATCAAGACATTTTATTTATTCATGGAATGGTGATATGATACCTGTATGTAGAATAGGTACAATCTAGTTTAGCTTTGTCAAACCCACTGAAGAATGTCTTTGATCCTTGTCAGCAAAGAATGTTCTGAAAAGGATGTTGTGTAATAACAGTTGTCAGAAAAATCTGTAATAGATTTTAGGGGGTGTGAACTTTTTTTATTCTAATGATTCTTTAATTCTGAACAAAAGGTTTTTATTTCTTCTCTCATCTGAGATTATTGACGTTTTGGTTGACATTTTGATTTTTCAGTGCATAGTTTTATACTGCTACTATTGTATTGCGTCTCCAGTTTTGGTTCTCCATATGCAAAGTTTAAGTAGGAGGAAAGCCATGTTAATCTTTGGGGGCAAAAAAATCGAGTCTAGCAGCATCAGAAATAACCATTTTTGAAAAGTTTTTTTTCATACAGCATTTGTACTAGTTGATCTATATTGGGGAATTAATTATTGTTCATGTTTTATTTATAACATAGATTTTCCTTAGATTTCAATGTCTTGCTATATCTCAAGTTAATTTCTTTTTGATGTTTTCTGATCAAATATCTGATCAAATATTACAGGACAACATTGCCTGGTCTGGACTGGTAAAGTTATTTGATCCCATAAAATCCCCCAGATGCTATGCAGTTGTGGCTTTGAAGAAATAAGACTTTTCACATGCAGGATAAAGTAAAATTTGGAAAAAATATTGTAAATTTGTTTTGTTTTTTACAACTCTCTTGCATGATCAATAATTCCATTATTTGTGTATTTTTATTACTGATGTATTTATAGATTATGACAAATGAAATATAAAAATAAAGTTTATCTTTCCAGTGCTGATGTATTATAAATTATTAGCTTATCAGAACATGTAACAATTCATCTTGACCATATGCAGATATCTGAAGAGAAATACCATACCTTCATAAAAATTCAGCAAACACATAATGAAAAAAGATAATATACAATATTTGTGATTGTATCATCTAATTAAAAGGATGAAAATGGCACATCAATGGCTAAGAAAGGGAATGTCATAATTCCAGTTTGATCAAAAAGCTTTGCTTTTCAACTTGCCTTGAGAAACTTGCATCTATTGGAGGGGTGGAAGTGTTGAAAAAGTCAAAATGGTGGCTGCAGTTGCATGATTAAAGCCCTGCATCCTCTTTATGTACAGTATGTTGCATCTGTGACTACTTAAAAAGGGGGCACAGACTTTGATCCCATGATCACAGCTACCATCTTCACTTTTTAGATTCTTCCTGATGTTTCTACTCTTACTTTTGCAATCTTAATATTGCACCACATTAGCCTTATATAGGAAGAAAAACTGTCACAACCTAGTAGGCATTGGAGAGATATGGGATAACTACAGAACAATTTTTATGAGAGATCCTCTTTGCCTTATTTTCATTCTCCATCCCTCCATTTGCAAACATCAGTTTTTATCAGGTTTGATGCTAATGTTGTTATATGATGATGTTTAACCAGGAATATCAGTTTTGGAGAGATGGAGGCAGCACTTGACATTCTGCTGAAAATGCTTTCATAACTTGGTTGCAAAACCCTAAATGATTATTAATTGATAGCAAAGAATTGAAGTTTTCTATACATTTTTACTTCCATCTAATGGTTATCTAGAGTCATGTAGCCCAGAGGTTGTAATGCCATTGAAAGGTTAATAGCATTAGAAATACAATCAATGCCATGAATCTAAATGAATGTGAATGTAAATGTAAATGTAAAAAGAAGAGGATGATCTTGTAAATATTTCCAAGCATCTTTCTAAGAACTAGGAGGTCTTTTTTATTTTGGACCTAGGTAATGGGATAATTTAGCCGTCTCTATGATTTGTCTACATTGGAGGAACCTAGTCTAAAAGTCCTGCTTTTTAAAGCCTTCTTAGGGTGAAAGAAATCTCATGTTGAGATCTTATCTCCATTCCAGGCTGAAGAAAAATCATGGGGAATGCAGGAGCAGAGATCCTAGCTACGAACCTTTTGCCAGTCTTTGCTTACTTCAGAAGTTATTTGAGGCAAATCCCAAGTCTCTTTAGCAGGCTGAAAGAGCCACCCAGGTTTTCTTGAATCAGATTAAGAGAAAGAAATGGTATACAAATGCCTGTTCTCTGAACGAATCTGAGCCCCTGACTTCAGGGCGACCGTGGGCTTGGAAAATCACATGCTTGCTGAGTTTATGCTTGCTTAGCTGACCTGGTCACAATGCATTGGTGAGCAGCTAGTGATATAGTACAGGACTCTCTTCTGCAAACTGCTGAAGACTCTCTCTACCCCTGGGACCAAGACGTGGAATGAAGTATTCCAGTTCCCCTTCCTGTCTCTTTCACTCTCCTAATCTGTTTTCTGTATATATATCCTATTCTTGTATGTTAAGATTAAATCCATGGAGGATTCCTATGATTTGTTAAAGATGTTAAAATTAATTGTTTAAAAGTAAATAGTGGAAAATATTTGCTTTAATTTATTTTGATATGTATACATATACTCAGAGCTCTGGTAATTAAACTTTTTTCTGTTAACCTGAGGAACTTTATCAAGAAACTGGTCTTACTATGTTACTGAAATAGTTGGGAAATGGTACATTTGTATAACAAGAACCCAGTAGATTGTGAAGACTGATTCATTCGCTCATAGAATGGCCATTGAAAGATGGGATGGGTGGAGGCATTGAATTAATTGTTCTTGCCACATGCTTTACATTTTTATGGTTTAATATCAGGAAGTTGCCCTGTAATGGTTACATATTTTATGTATTACTTCCTGTAATAGTTGTTTCCATAGAGTTTTTCAGTGCTAAATGTTAGAATCTGTGAATTGACTCAATAGTATGTGCGGGGATGGTAACAAAGGGAGAAATGCAAATTCATTGAGATTTTGCTAGATAAAATATTTATGTGTTAGGAACTAAACTATAACTGGACTCTATAGACCGCATGCATGAGAATTTATACTTGATTTATGTTTATTTTAAGAATAAACTCAAGCCTACATATTTTTGTCAGCAGGAAGTAAATGAGAAAGTGCACAGCTATTTTTATTTTATTGGATTTTTCCAAGATTTGATGTAGAACTGGGAACTCACTATTTCCATGCATAAAATCTAATTTAAATACTATTAATACTTTATTAATGTAAATAATGTAAAATTATTAATGTAAATGATAACTTGCTATATACACATACATATATATACATACATACAGAGAGAGAGAAAGACTTTAAAAAGTTCTTGTCTGGTGGCTTGACATAATGATATCACGACAAAAGAATGAGCAATCCATTGTCTATATTTAAAAAGTAATTAATCCAAGGTAGAGAATTCTGCTATTGCGTTTTCTATCATCACCTTTTTTCTTATGGCAAAAAGAGACTCTTAGGGAAACAGCCTCACACAGAGAAAGGAAAATATAGATGTTTTCATTTGTTAAGATTTTTTTTTCTTTTGTAAATTGACCCAGAAGTATGATAATGAAATTGCTAAATTCAAAGTGCTAAATTAATAAAGGATTTTCAGAGAAAGCTCTTTTTAGTTGTTTAATGATATTTAGTGAATCTTCTAAAACAGGGGTGTCAAACTCGCAACATCACATGATGTGTCGTGACATATTGCGACTTTTTTGCCATTGCCGGCAATGGGGTGTGCGTGGTTTTGCTATGATGCATCCGGCCCGTAGGCCAGCAGTTTGACACCCCTGTTCTAAAACTTTGTGCTGATGATTTAATTTGCTAGGTCTAGGTCATATAGCTTTTCCTTATCTTTATTGAAGAAAATAGTACTATTTAGTAATGTAGAAATTATTCAGAAGACTTACTTTGGGATGCTTGAGAGCAGCACCTCTTCAAAACAACAATGCTTTTCCCCCTTGAAAAACAGGTCCTCTGCAATGGTAATTATACATCAGTTAATAATATAGTCCTTGTATGAAAACTGCTGCTGCCTCATTTTAACATAAAGTATTCACTTGAAACAAAGTTAGATTGACATAACCTTAAAAATTGTGTTTAAGTATTCTGTATTAATCAAAAGTGGTTTTTATTTTTTGCAAAGGCAAACTGGATTTATTTATTTAATTTATTTTAGGAAGAAGACTTCCTCAAAAAATCAGTCCAGTTACCTTTTCAAAAAATAAAAACCATTTTTGATACAAGTATGACCTGGATGAATAAGAATCTTCATAGATACTTTGTATTAAGTATTATTGTTTTCATCAAAGCATGAGGTTCAAAGATTCTTAGGAGAATAAAGCAAAAAATTAAACTCGACACTTGCAAAGCATTTTACCTGCAGACAGAAATCCCAAGTTTGTTTAGTAAGCTAGCGAGTGCAATAAATCTTTAGCATGACCAAATACTTCACATTTTAAAAATGGAAAGGAATTTCACACATAGTATTATCATCATCACTTGATGATTGTAACATCAAGTAATAATTGACACTGATGAATATATAAAAATTAGAAATTCTAAATTGTTAGACATCATTTATTTCATCATAGATAGCCTTCTTTAAAAACAATGCTGAAATGAAATAAACATGACTGAACCCTCCTCAATTAATTCTTTGCACGTACATAAGAATTGGCATACCGAAGAAAAAGCTAGGCTGTCTCTGAAGTACGATTTCTCAACATCCAGGCAACTGTTTTTGTATAGAGGCTCATTTAATCATGTTGGCTTCCCACTGCAGCTTTAAGTGGTGTGGACTACTGTAGACACAGCGTTGCCTGTTGAACTGCTGTTTGTGAAAACTAGGCTGTGGAATTTTTCCTGAGTAGAGAATGAAGGCATTGTGCAATAACAAACTAATGCAGCGTTATTCACTTGGGACATCACAAGTAATATCTCAAAGTATCTAGGAAGCAATGAACAAATAATTCTAATGTTTAAAAAAGGATCTTTGAGTCCAAAGCAGTGACAGTCCAAAGCTGTGCCTTAATTAATAAAGAGGTTGTTAAAAAGCAGTGTTTTTCAGTTGTATATGAAAGCTGAACACTACATGATAAATTTTGTTGGCTATAATCTAAATAGTAGGTTTGAGGACTAAGTTGCCTTAATTGACAACACAAAGTCCCTTCTCAGCCAGAAAGGATGTATTTGGTTTCATTTATGAATTTTAAAATTCTGAAATAGTGAAAAACATATTGAAAAATCCATAAAATCCATAAATGAAACCAAATATACATGTCCCAGGATAATGTTGCAGGATTCAGTCTCGGTCAGTCATTTTTGGATTCATGCTTTTTCTTTACCAGAATAAAATTCATAAACATTTGAAGCTGTTACCAAACAACTGAGTTCTATGTGACCTCTAAAATATGCTGCTCAGAAATTGGTATTCTAGTGCTGGTCTTCCTCATATCAATATAACATTCCTATTGATACCAAATATTCTTATGTCCTGTCTCATTCTCACAAACAGTGTCCTGTACCTGACATGATTTTTTTCCCTTTTTTGCCACCTCACAGTACAAAGCTCTCTTCCTGAGCTGCTTTTTTCCCACCAGCACAGCTGATTGGTTTGGACAAAACTCAGCAGCACTTTTTTCCTGCGGCAGCTGATAAAAACAGGATCGCCAACGTGATCACCAACGTCCGATAACGGATATGGCACAAGAAGAAGAAGAAGAACCTCAAGTTAACAAGCTCAGCTCTGTGCCTTAATTAGTCCATTAGAATCCTCAGCAGCTCAGCTGCTACCTGAAACTGGCTAGAACTTAACAGTTTCACATTAAAGGCTTTGGTTGTCAGGCTCACAAAATTTAGTCAGAAATGTG